TAGAAATTGATGCCTTTGAGTTGTGGTGCTGGAGAAGAGTGTTGAATATACCATGGACTGCGAGGAGAACAAACAGGTTTGTCCTGGAGAGGGTGAAGCCAGAATGTTCCCTAGAGTCAAGGATTCTGAAGCTTTGTCTGACATACTTTGGGCATGTTGCAAGGAGGGACTGGTCCTTGGAGAGGGACGTCATGTTTGGGAGAGTGGAGGGACGGCGCAGGAGAGGAAGACCCTCAATGAGATGGATCGATTCTGTGGTAGGAATGAATGTGTTTGAGACAGCGAGGTTGGCACAGGATAGAACGGTGTTTAGGGCTCTTGTACATAGGGTCGCTATGAGTTGGAAACGACTCGATGGCACATAACAACAACAATCATTCATGCACCTATTGTTTCATAATGTTAATTATAATATCCACAGTGTCTGGTCATACATTCATTCTGCTACATTGTCTTTCCCTTCCTCCATATAATAAGTATTTATTATTTAGTATTCTACGTCTCCCTTTTCCCCTACTTGATAATTATTCTAGAATAATTCTATCTGTGTGTAAACTTGTCTTGGCTTTTTATAGTGTCGTATACAATATTTATCCTTTTGTAATTGACTTATTTCACTCAGCATGTCTTCTGATTCTTCAAGTTAAGTTGTGTCTCATGTATTCGTGACTGCTTTCCAGTGTTGCACAGTACCCTGCTATATGAATAGTTATAGTTTGTCTAGCCATTCTTTCATTGAAAACCAGGCCAGGTGCTGATTGTGGAACAGACCACAACTACACATATGCAAGTTCAAGGTGAAGCTGAGGAAAATTAAACCAAATCCACGGGAACCAAAATATGACCTTGAGACTATCCCACCTGAATTTCAGAACCATCTCAGGAACAGGTTTGAGGTGAAGACCAGATGAGTTGTGGGAGGATATCAGGGGTATCATCCAGGAAGAGTGCAAAGGGTCATTGCAAAGACAGAAGAGGAAGCGAAGACCAAAATGGATGTCACAAGAGACTCTAAAAATTGCACTGGAGCGCAGGGAAGCCAAAGTGCAAGGAAGAATTCAAGATACTAAAGAGTTGAATAGAAAATTTCAAAAGG